CTTGATGGAAGTAAATCTTCATGCTTAACCATGAATCAAGAAGTTCCACAAGGATCTATCTGTGGGCCTGTACTGTTTCTCATTTATATAAACGATCTACTAAATAGTGACGGCATTTCCAAGTTTATCCTCTTTGCGGATGATACTACGATCCTAAACAGTGCAGGTCAGGCCAGTGTCCTTCGTAACAATGTCCAAACAACACAGGATAACGTTAAGCAGTGGTTTTTGGCAAATAAGATGTTTCTCAACCAAGACAAAACTCAGGCTATTTTGTTTACTTTGCCTTATGTGCATGATGAGTTCACCAATTGTGCCTCGCAAGTGAAATTTCTCAGAGTGAACATTGGTCGCCAAATGTCTTGGAAGCAGCATATTGATGAGTTATCTAATATAAAAACATTGCTGTCAGTCTATTATCGTTTTTTTTTTCACTCACATCTGTGCTATTTTGAACTCCGGTCATTCTTGCCATGGTGCTATAGAGCGGATTGTAAGGGGCAATATAAACCCTGTTCTTCTTGGACTAAGTAGAACTCGAGTCAGTTCTAATTACTATTGCGTGCGCTTTTTTAATATGCTACCTGAAGTAATTAGGTCCTTGTGTAATACTCACTATAAAATGAGAATGAGGAACTTTCTTAAAATGAAAGCATTTTACTCATTCGACGATTATTTTAATGATGATTTTGTTGCTCTTGTTAGTCCCCTAGAAATATCATGTATTGTGTGTGATTTGTGATATATTTCATTGTGTTTGTATTTTGTAATAGTGCCTCTTTTTGTATCTATAGTATTTATTTTTAGTATTTTTTAAAATTATTTATTCACATATCTGTGCTTATTTTAATTACTGATACTTTTGGCGTCATATTCCTTTTGTGACTTCTGTAAACATTTGTGTTTGTGTGTGTGTGTTTTGACATCAATAAATTATTATTATTATTATTATAAAATTATTACTATAGTTGCCGTTTCACTGTTGGATAAATAACTTATAAAAACTAACTAACTACCTAAAATAAATAAATAATTAAATAAATATTGAGCTGCAAAATTATAAAAATCTTTAAGTGCAAAAGGATATAGCATACAATTAAAATGATGTTTGATAAATAAAATGTATAGAAGGAAAACAAAATTAGTATTGAGAATATTTATACTTGTTAATATGTCTTTTATTTTGTTTTTATTAACATCTCTCCTGCCTTCAAGGACTGTTAGCCCGGTGAATTATTGTCAGCAAGGACATTAGGAAATGCAATTTATTACCTCTTCGTCGCGTTAGGACCAACAAACGGTCGGGTCTTAGAGGAGGAAGACTATTATTGACAATTGTATTCTTATCCGGTTATATGGATTAAGGGCTCAGCTCATTTTTACGTCCTTCCTTTGTGCAACGTAAATTGTTTGTCGTCGAAGAAAATAAATTGATTTTAAAATGTCTGTTGTTTTGAAATAATAAGAGAAAAGTATTATTTTCAGTTTTAAAGATAGATAATTTGGAAAACATTATATAAAATGCAGAAATATATTAATTTAGGTATCGTGGCTGAATTTCATGTTTATCTCTGTTTATTTTTCCTCAAAAACTTTTAATTAGATTATTCATGTTTCTAATATTTCCAGTAAAGCTATAGGTACTTTGACATCCAATTTGAAACACTCCGTATAACAAATTCAAATGTTATTTCCATTTCCATTTGTTACATTTTGACAACTTGTGAATGCTATTCTTGAAATACACTTACCTAAAAATGTATCAGTTTTAAGTAAAATGAAGCTTAACAATGTATTACGAAGCCCTTTGTCAGAATGTCGAAGTATTTACTTTATATAAGGGTAGAGAAAATTATACGGAATAACTCCGCTAAACTTCCGAACAGAAGTCGTAATATTTGTCAGGACATGCCATTGTTCCCTCCACCGATAATGCAGTTGTGTTTAGAGACGTGATTACCATTTACAGAAGTCAATAAAACATTTCCCTTTGGCAGAGAAGGAAAGCGCGTAAAGTTTGGTATAGACGCTGCTCCCTTGACGCGGATAATATTAGGGTGGACTGGAATGTCTTTTTCCAACTCGTAAAATATGAGCGATGAATTAAATGTCCATGAACGCCATGTATTTCGTTTGATGGTCCTCTTAATAAAATGTTACGGTGTTATAATTTCATGGTGTTACAAGTTCCGTAATGAATACATAAATTTGAATCATACGTTCCGTCTGCTCGTAAAACATACTATGTTGGTTCCTACTTTTATATATAGAGGGTGTTTTTTAAGTTTAAACCCACGCAAATGAGTGAGTCAATAACAATCTTGAAATAATAACAAAAACAATAACGAATAGATATTGATATTACGTAACGAAGGAACAATTAAATTTTAGGTAGGTAGGTTCTTTTATAAACGCATTTTGTTTTGGTAATTAAATGCCTTTTCGTTAGCGTCGTGTTCCTCAATTCATTATCATTATTTATTTTTTGCTCACTAATTTGCGAATAATTTGATAACAAAAAAATATATTGAACCCTTTTTGGAGTCAAAATGTAGCTATTTTTATGCTCTTCAAACTAACCTATGTTGTGTTATACTGGGTGTTTCATGAAGTCCTCCACTAATAGAGGATGTTCCTTGGGTTATTTCTAGAAAAAAAGTATATATAAACATGTGTCCGATTTGCTTTACTTTGTGAGCTACATGAATTTGAAATTTAAATGTAAAAAGTAAAAATCAAATTTGTTGCGTTACGTCTCGGCGCGCTACGCATTGGTCAAGTGTGCTCTGACGACATTTGCAAGGTAAAATGTTATCTAGGTTACTGTCAGTTTTGACAAGCTTGCAGTTTAGTGTGAAGATTCAATTTTGCAAATTCGCGAACAATGCCTTTTAAGTTTACGACTGCTGAGTATGCCGATATGGTGTTTGTTTTGGGTAATTGCGATGGAAATGCTACTCTAGCTTCACTGGAATATCAACGGCGTTTCCCAAATCGTCGCATTCCATCCCCGAAAACGTTTACCACAACTTTTCATGCACTCAGAGAAACTGGTTCACTTCCAAGTGTTCGCATTCACTACGAACGGGTAAGTCAGCAGAGTGTTGTAGAAGAAGAGAATATCCTTGCTATGGCCGAGCGTAATCCCGGTGTTAGTACACGACGGATATCCACGCCTTTAGTGATTCCCAATACCAGGGTATGGAGAACATTAAACAAGAATCTGTTGTATCCATACCATCTACAGCGTGTTCAACATCTGGAGCCAGAAGATTTCCCTAGGCGGGTAGAATTTTGTCAGTGGTTGAATAATAATAGGAATTTGTATCGCTACATCTTATTTACGGATGAGTCACAATTTACCAGAGACGGTATCAACAACACCCATAACATGCATCAATGGTCGGACGTCAACCCTCATGCCACCGTAGAAAGTAATTTTCAACGTAGATTTAGCGTTAATGTGTGGTGTGGAATGTTATACGATCAACTTATAGGGCCATTTATTATTGAAGGTCGTCTTAATGGACCAAAGTATCTACAATTTTTAGAGGAAGAACTCCCGCGATTGCTTGAAGATGTACCTCTGGCAAGACGATTAAGAATGTACTTGCAACATGATGGAGCTCCACCTCATATTTCCCGAATTGTCACTGCTCACCTAAATGAGCATTACCCTGGTCGCTGGATCGGTCGAGGTGGGCCACACATTTGGCCAGCTAGGTCTCCAGACCTCAATCCGTTAGATTACAACATGTGGGGTTGGATGAAGGATTTGGTTTATCAAGAGAAAGTGGAAACACGCGAAGCTCTAATCCAAAGAATTGTTAATGCTGCAACGCAAATAAAAGAAAAGCACGCGAATATTAGAAATGCAACGCGAGCAATTCACAGGCGTGCTGACAAATGTATTGAAGTAGGAGGTGGAATTTTCGAAAACCTTTTAAATTAAGAATGTATGTATCACTATTACCGATGTTCTAAAAATAAAAATGAAAATTAATTTCCATTATTTTATTTTCAAATTCGTGTAGCTCAATAAATAAAGCAAATCGGACACATGCTTATATGAACTTTTTTCTTAGAAATAACCCAAGGAACATCCTCTATTAGACCAAATATATTTTTTCGAGACACACCCAAATTTTTCCTTTTTTTTTTAATTTATTCCTGTTTGTATGATCTGAATTAATTTATCTAGTTAAAAGAGTGCCCCAAGGTTCTATTCTTGGCATTTTTTTGTTTTCTTCTTACACGTCGAATATTTTTAGTAATGTTGATTTTATACATACAATACACAGATGTATTATTCTCACAGCAGATAACGTTGAAACAGGTGCTACAGAAAGCAAATACAAAATAAAAAAGTGCAAAAATTTTTGTCTACACTAAATTTTTTGTTTAGAAAATTATGTTGTACAAGTTACAAGATATCAACTGGGTAACTATGGAAAACAGTTTTCTTCTGCGTTCAGCAATATTATTTCATTCTACTAGGACTACTGAAAACTCGGATTATTTATTTGAAAAAATACTAACCTACCAAAATATTTATACAGTTAGTATTAAATATGAATCACGAATAATGGTTCCACACCACACCATAGCAAATATAGCAAGATATTTCTCTTAAGTGAATAATGGGTAATGTACCTGATCTATGTAATGAATAATATCTCAATATGTGGATAGGTCGCTTATGAACCAATATCATGGCCTTTAAGGTAGTCAAATTACAATTCGAGCAATTTGATGGATAAGATTGAGATGAACATGCGGAGGAATTACGTGAATCCATAGAAAACGCTGACTTTGAACATCTTCTTTGGGCAAGCTCGGATTTACCTAAATTAAAATGATCTTTTTTGAGTTTAACGTCGTGCAAAATGGAAAGCTCCAATTTAAAAAATATGCAGTAAATTTAACCAATATGATGGCTAATAGTTTTTAACTTCCTTCTGACTTTCGGGTGAGCAATAAATTAAGAATAAAACAAAAAATAAATTAGGCAATTTATTTGTAAAAATATCACAGATTCTTAGAACATTTCTAATAAGTAGCTTTGTCGTTTATAGTTTTATAGATATTATTCTTATATGCTTGTATTGTTAGAAGGGCAGTAAGGATACAGTAAGGTAATAAATGTATTACTCTGGAAAACATACTAAATACCAATACAACAAACTGATGTGTATAGCCGCCAATTATAAAAAATAAATGAATAAAAAGCAGTGTATTAAAAAAATATATTTAAAAATATTTCTATTTAGTTCTCCAAAGGAAGAATAATATCTGTATCTATAATAAGAAAAAGCTTATCAGTTATCACATAAATAAACTCTAGTATTCTACAAGCATCATTTCTTCATCAATAATTTAATTATTTTTCTTAAAATTATAAAGCTAAAGTTTAAGTACTCAAATTATAAGAGAAAATAGTCATAAAAGTATGGAAATAGTCTACTGTCACCGTTTCTTTCCTTCCCATGTATTTATAGTCATATGTAAGCTATGTAGATTACTTTAGAAAGTCAATAAAGCTAAAACACATGTACCACAATTACTAGAAACCTACAACTCTAATAAATATTAAAATATTTGTCTCGTCTTTATTGTGTGTCTTAAGCTTAACTTAATAGTTCTTAAGTGTCTACTCCCCATGTGATTTTTCTAGAAACTTTTCTTACGTTTATCAAAAAGTCAGAAAAAGCTGTTGGAGATCCTCAAGATTTTGCTGGTTCCTGTTGTCTTGAGTTGTACTCTGCATTAGAATGACTCGTGTCTAATAACAGGGAAGACAGAGTTTCCAATGATTTCTTTACCTGCGAATTTAAAACGAAATCGTAAATCAAGGCAATGACATAGATGTCAAGTTAAACTATAAAAATGTCGAGATGAGTGTTTTAAATTATTCTTAGAAGTAATTATGGCCCGTTTTAGATTGTTATCGCTATGAGGTGTGAACACCTGCTTGACTGACGTGTCTATCAGATAGTGGAATTATTTAATCCTTTTACATTATCTGATATTTGCCGTTGTTATGGAAACATTAAGATGATACCACAAAATTATCGATATCGGAATTTCCTGTTCTTTAGAAAATTTATTACAAAAAATTGACAAAAACATTTTTTGTGCAATTGTAGTATTTAATATTAGTTTAAAAGTATGGTATGGGTCGCAATATACAATGTGCTCAGGAACTATAAGCAAATAATTAAGGGGCTAATATCTAATCATAAAAATAATTGTATAAATTTTTATGTTACTTTTTTGAAAACTTAATATTAACAGTTAGAAAACTTTAAAATTCATTTTTTTTATTGATATTTTGGTATAACTTTTTTAAAATTAATCCAATTCAGTAACCTTACTATTAGTAACAAATCGAGCCTAAAAAAATTTGGAAAATATTTACTTAGCCATTAGAGCCTCTCAGGGTTTTACAAAATTTTGTTATCAATACGAATTCATAAAATGGATAGCATATTTGAAAATAAGGTTATGGCAAAAAATTAAATTTAAAACAGAATTTTAAGGTTATGTAATTACATTAATATTGAGCTTTACCATTATTTTTATTGTGGAATCATCCCCTTGTTTTTAGTTTTCTCACATATTCTATTTGTGTGGTGCATGAAAAAGAAAATAAATGATTTTTCATTCAATAATATTAATTTGTCAAAGTATTGTAAATCATTGTATACAGCTAAACTGACGCTATAATTAGTACACAATAGTTTGCTTATCAAATATTTGGAATAACAATAATCTTGTGATCTGTTTTATTCGTACCTTACTTGTAAACAATGGCGATATGTTCTTGAAATCACCTTGTTTACAAATGTAGATTTACTTAAATAGTTTGGGAATAATGAATATCTGATAAAAAAGTTGAAAGAACTTATTATTTCCCAAAATATGTTTTTCAGTAGTTACGTACAATTAACAGTTAAAGTAATAATTAATGAGAAACAAACTGAGCTCAAATAAAACAATAAAAATAAATATTAGATACCCCAAAATCGTGCATGCTTCGATACTATAACTATCTCATAATTGTAGATAATTCCCACACTTCACATATACAGGGTGAAACTAAAATGTATTAAGATAATTCAAAGCGAAATGTATACTGTGAGCAATCAAGTTAATGAGTAAATTGGTAGTAGGGTCCCAAGTAACATTTTAACTTTTTTAATAACCTACGAGGCTATCATAAGAACTGTTTATAAAGCTGTTGATAAATCTTTATTTCTGTGACACTGTGACAGTAATCATAAATAAGAAAGGTCCCAAAGGGACGATCTCCAGGAAGTTTTCAAAACTGCTTGAATATTATAAAAGCTATTCTTCTTATGTTATCTTGGTGCAATCCTAAAGAGTTTGATAAAACTTATAATAAGAGCATTTAGACCACGAAAAGTTGAATTTGTCTTTGTTGTGGTCTTATAAATGCACCTAAACATGTTCTTGTTGAAATTCCTAACCTATTTGTGGTGATGAAGTCTGTTATAACACATTTCAACCAGTAGTTTAGATACCATAATTGTTAAAGTTGTTTTTGTGGAGTACCATTACTTAATCACTACATATTATAAAACAAAGTCCTCCACCGCATCTGTCTGTCTGTCTGTTCGCGAGAAACTCAAGAACTACTGCACCGATTTTCATGCTGTTTACACCAATGGATACAGTGGTTCTCGAGGAAGGTTTTAGTATATAATTTGTTAAGTTTTTGTATACATTAACGATATTTGTCGGAGGAGAAAACGCTGCCTAAACCCTTTGAGATATAACAAAATAATGTATGGTGGAATTGTGTATCTTATATTAGTTTACAAACAAGTCCGCGATGGCATATGTCTATCTCTTAAAGATAACATACTATATCCATTTCAATACTTTAAAAAATGGGCAATTATAAAGCGGTAATTGGAAAGCTATTTACACAAATACGGTATTAAACCTTATCTTTTTAAATACGTTAGTTGGCTTGAGCATTTCATGAAGATAATTTTTTCCCTTTACACCATGCAAATTAAATGAATACCTTAGGAGATATAGCAAAATCAAAATAATGCGCAACGAAATTAATTTCGTGTCGCCGTGATTCGATCGGGCCGCGCGGGCGCCCCGTGACCCCGCGCCCCGCGTCCGAGCCGAGGGGGTCCGAAAGTTTATGTAGTGTATCAATGTATGGTGGAATTGTGTACAGAAAAGTCCGCGATAGCATATGTCTATATGTTAAAGATAACATACTACCTATATCCATTTTAATACTTTAAAAAATTGGCAATTATAAAGCGGTAATGTAAAAGCTATTTACACAAATACGGTATTAATCCTTATCATTTTAAATAAGTTAGAGGCATTAAGCATTTCATGCACATTATTTTATTCGTTTACACCATATAATTTAAATGAATATCTTAGGAGTAATCGCAAAAAAATTACGGACGCGAGAATAAAATTCAAGCGCCTCGCTTCGCTTGATGCGATCGCCGACCCTCCCCCCACACCGTCTTGCCTACTGTTTAGCTAATAAGCCGAACGATAACGCGCACGTGATCCTTTAATAAACTGACTTGGAGCGAATGGAGGTGACGACTGACGACTGTGTTTTCTTTCTGGGTGTTGTTGGAAAGTTATAATTGCGTTCGATATTTTAAGGTCACATTTTTGCTTTGTATTTGTTGTCTTTAGGTAGTCGGAACATACATAGATACTTGCAAACATACTTTTATTTCATTGAGTTGTAATAATTTGTTTGTTTTTTCTTATTGTAAATCATTTAAAACTTCATAGTCGCATTTTTGTTTCGTGTTTGTTTTCTTTAGGTAGTTAGATACGTAACTACTTACTTATTAATTAAAATTGATAGTCCTGAACATAGGTACTTTAATTTAATTCGCTTTGTTTTCACATTGTTGGTAGTTACCTATATTGTTTTAAATTTAAAGGTTTTGCATTTTTAGTTTTGAGTTCGTTAGTTGTCTTTAGGTATATAGATATATCGTGAATTATTTTAAAATTAATATTAGGGTCGCATTAGATGAAAGATGATTGATTTTTTGTTTCTTACGATTTAAATCAAAAACTACTCAACCAATTTTACCGAAAGCTACATCTTCTCGGAGTAACATAGGCTATATTATTTGCCCGTGCGAAGCCGGGTTGCTAGTCTAAAATAACTTGATTTGTTTTTCAAAAAGACCATTATTTTTTCAATTCTTTTCCACTTGCTTATGGCCGTTGATTTAGACTTATTGTATGGAGCTACAGAATTTGTGTTAGATTTATTGAAGTAGCTAAAAAAGCTAATAATGTTTAAGATGTTTTTAATAAGCGGATTATTGCTTCACTGCGTATTCTGACGAGAGAAAATTTTCTTAAGATGAGAACTTTTTAAAAGAAGGGGACACGGGGTATCTGCAAGAAAATTATTTTTAAAACGATTTGAAAGGTTTATCGTTTTACAGCAGCTCGATTAAATTTTCATTCGAAGGCTGCACCAAACTGTTTTAAGTACATTCGATATTAATAATAAAAATTATACAAACCTACAGCCAGATAAAGTCCAAAAGACTTTGTGATTAGATTTTAAGAGACACTACAAGGCAATTTAATGAGATAAGATAATTGCACTCTGGGAATATATTAATTCAAATATTATTATTAAATAATTTAAAACTTTTTGATCTGTAAACATCCTGCATGGAACCATTTTAAAATAATAATAAACAGCATTTTAATTGTTACTTGGGATCCCAATGTGCCAAATATTTTTACTAGCTTGAGTTAATCACAGATTAATGAACATGAATAAATAAACTACTCGTATTCCAAGCACAACTTCAAACTCTTACCTTTGCAATTTGGTTCAAATTGGAATCCAAGTAGTCGAACACCGCCCCGTCGGACTTAGAATGTAGCTCCGTCTGTAGCTCTAATATATCCCGGTAAACACTGGGAGAGTCTGAATTTTTGACATCTTCTAGGGCGATAGAGTACTTGTTTTGCATTTGACTTATTCGATACAACAGGAGGCTTGCAGATGTGTATAGTGTCACTAGTAACGCTATGGTGGCAAGTAAAATAATCCTTTGCTGCTTCTTCTTAAAGTACCTGATGGTCCTTGGTGCTTTCGTAAGTGCTATGGATGCTTTACGTGAACCTGAATGAATGAACTAAAATTAATAAATTGGACACTTAAAACCCTCATTATTTTGTCATCAATTTTGATTGCAATGCTATATTGAAAACAAGGTTGTAGTTTCCAATTAAATAACATGTGTTTTGTTAACAATTTACTAATAATAATAAGAAATGTTACCTTTCAAATGAGTCTTTTCAGGATCAGATGTTTCTCCATGATCAACCTCATCTTCTTCTTCTAACTCATTGTAATCTAGGCCTTGTGCCTATAATATGAAATACCCCTTTAAAGTAATTTATTATTGTGGTTAAAAATATATCATATGTTGCTGAATTTTTGTTAAGTCCCTTTTGTATCTAAAGTTTATTTAAAAAAAATTGTTTTCACTTACACTGATTTCCTTTTCCAAGAGCTCCGCCTCGCTCTTTGCTTTCTCCCACACTGATCTCATGTACTCCAAAGCGCTATCTCTTGATATGAAACTTGCAAATACATGCTTCTGTTCTGACGTTACAATGCCAATGGCATTGTTAAATATCCTTGCCGTTTTTTCCCTTGTTATGTCTTGAACTGTGAGTATTGGTATAAGCAGCTGAAACGTAAATTGGTTCATTTCTTTGCTCAATAATATGCTGTAACTGATTAGAGGTAATGGCTTGAATCAAACATATGGAAGAAAAATGTACCTAATCACTACAAATGAGATTTTTCGAAATTTCCAAGTAAAATATACTCTGTGGTTTTGAATATCGTCGTACAAGTTAATTCACTTGACTTATTACAAATACTGTCAACATTATTGGTCTGACATACTTTGGTTCTGAAATATTTATGTTAGAACGAAAAGAAAAAATTAAATAATCTCTGTGACTTGTGGATATTTTTTAATATTCGAAGCAGCTGCCATATTCTCTTAAGGCCAGCAATTGTTTCTCTCAGAAATCGCTAGAATTAACATCGTTTGAATTAGGCTACTGGAATTTTTCGATTTGTATTTTGTATATGCAATTTTTTATGCTAATTGAAGCATAGTTATTTCCCGCAATATTAGCAGCTAGGAGTCTTGTCTGTATTATTATGTATTATTTTGCATACCTAGATTTCTGGTAACGAAAAACATTGTTTGACTTCATTTGCCGGGATTTCTTAGAGAAAAAAAAATGTACTTGTGCTTCTATTGACTAAGTTTGTAATAAGAGAATCACCCTGTACATCTATGCTCATTTTTGTTATATTATTGGCATGTGCATGGTAATCTAGGTCTAACAAAGGTACTTACCTTTGTGACGAATCCAAAGACATTGGAATAGAACCCAAAGTAGTTTGTGGTAATGTATAAATATCCCTGTAATAATATCTCACTTTGGAGAGCACAGGCATACCGGCCTAATACTTCTTCGTCGTCTTCAATGTTAGGGAAGTGGTGGAAGAACTTTTTTCTTAGGCTTTTGGATAGTCGTTTGACCTTTACTGTAGACGGTGTATCATTTGGATCAGTTGCCTCCTTCTTGACATTGGAGATTCTAAAAAAAGTTAACAATTATACACTGTGAGATGTACATAGTCCAGACGGTATCTGTTTCAAAAAACCATATTTGGGTGAATCGTATATCCACGGAGATTTTTGGCTTTTTGGCTTTCAAATATCACTAGAAATGAAAATGTTTCTATGCGCATAAAAAAAACGTGGCTTTTAAAAAATTCGAAAAATGTCATATTTTTCTTCGTATTTAATTATATATCTTTTCAAGAGTTGATTTTAGGCGAAAATTGAAGAGGAAAAAAATGTTTGTAATTAAATTTTTTACAAAACATGACTAGTTACAAATCGAATGAATCATGATTATTATAGTAAACATAGAAAAAATCGCAAAAATGGGGTTAAAAAACAATACTTTTTAGGGAATTTTTTTGGGGTACTTAAATTGGGTGTAGGACCTTTATACTTGGCTCAAGAAAACTTCATGTTATGTAGAATCTTCACACCAAATTTCATCATAATCGGTTCGATAGATTTTGCATAATAATTTTGCAATCCAGATTTTGAAAAAAAAAATTGCAAATTTTCAAAATTTTGCACAGCAAAAACCAAGGCCCTTAGATACTTGAATAAATTAGGAGAGCTCTGGCGCTTGTTTAAACATGGTCGAATTTTTGTACTTATAAACAATTAGAATAACTGTGAATATTCAATCAAATCAAATTTTTTAAAGCAGGTTTTAAAAGTTTTTGGAAAGACGCTTCTTTTAAAAAAAAAATAAGAAAAAATTACAAATAATTCTTTCCGGTGTTGCCAGATTTCTGCAGTAGCTACGAAAACGATATTTTTTTAAATAGCAACATCGAAAAAAATTATTTATAAATTTTTCTTAATCAAGTTATTTCCTATAACTTTGCATTTGGAAGTACTAGTCTATTATTTCAAATAAAAAAGTTGACCTATGTCAGGTTTTAAAAAAATAACACTGTATATACAAGTTGTAAAGATTCTTTTCCTAATGTACATGTATCTATTTTCTTCAAGGTCGTATTTTTCGAATACGAAACAATATATTGAAATGAACGAAAGATTCTTTTTTAATATTATTTTTTTTGTGATTAAAGTATAATTCAAATATTATTTATTGTTTAAAATATAAACAAATGAGAAATTAACTCACTATATTACTAATTTTCATCATATTTTGAAAATAATTGTTGTTTAAACGATTTCAGAATTTTTAAATAAATTTGTTTTTGATCTTTGATAAACAGTATATAAGTTTATGCACTTACCTTTGATACAATAAAAAAATAAAGTTGATAAGTAATGAAAGTTTAAAGATAAATAATTATCGGACTGTTGAAAGACCAATAATTATTAACGATAGGCATTTGAAAATACGCTAAAATTAAAAAAAAATCATCAAAATTGGACCTCTAGAAGGTGAGATATTAAAAATTTTTAAGCGCATCACGGTTTTGAACTCGCCGATTCAATTTCGAGCAGGCCGAAGCGGCCGCGCTCTCTGCTTCCCCCACCACCACCACCCGCACGGTTTTTTTGAATTTCTCGCTTGCATAAATAACTTTAAACACGTTTTAAAGTAGGTTGCCAATGAAGAAAAGTATTGTAATCTTAGACCTGGTAAGTACTCGGAATACCAAATGTATTTTTCGAAAAATTAGCCCGGATGTCCCAGTACATTTACTGTAAATGACGGTTAATTTTGATCGGCTATAACTACCTAATTAATTGATCAATAGAACTGTTTTTTTTAAAAAGAAGCGTCTTTCCAAGAACTTTTAAAACCTCGTTTAAAAAATGTGATTTGATTGAATATTCACAAAGTTATTCTAATTGTTTATAAGTACAAAAATTCGACCAATGTTTAAACAAGCGCCAGAGCTCTCCTAATTGACGGATTCTAATTTTTAAAAAAGAGTTTGAAAGCTTGAGAGCCCTTCTATATGTGACTAAATCTTCAAGTATTTAAGGGCCTTGCTTTTTGCTGTGGAAAATTTTGAAAATTTAAATTTTTTTTTCAAAATCTGAATTGCAAAATTATTATTATCGAACCGATTTTGATGAAATTTGGTGTGAAGATTCTACATAACATGAGGTTGTCTTGAGCCAAGTATAAAGGTCCTATACCCAATTTAAATACCCCAAAAAAATTCCCTAAAGAGTATTGTTTTTTAACCCCATTTTTGCGATTGTTTTTATTTTTACCATAATAATCATGATTCATTCGATTTGTAACTAGTCATGTTTTGTAAAAAAATTAACTACAAACATTTTTTTTCCTCTTCCATTTTCACCTAAAATCAACTCTTGAAAAGATACATAATTAAATAGGAAGAAACATATGACATTTTTCGAATTTTTTTCACATATTGTGCCGCCAAAAGTTAAGCCCACATTATTTTATGCGCATAGAAAAATTTTCATTTCTAGTGATATTTGAAAGCCAAAAAGCCAAAAATCTCCGTGGATATACGATTCACCCAAACCAAAACAGATACCGCCTGGTCTAAAGGAGGAGGATGGTTTTAATCATGTAGTTTTTACTCCTATTTTTAACAATGCAACTTATCAACACATTTTTTGTATATTATCAGTTTTCCGGTTCATAATGTCACATTGAAGATTGCCAAAGTATAAAAATTAATGTCGTCGGTATCGGACAATATAAACAAATCAGAATAAAGTAGTTAGTCTTACTCACTGGTAGTATATTTGGGTTGATAGCAACCGAATTGAAAGATTAATGAACAATAAGGTGCAATAAGCTTGTAATGATGCAATGCAAAAGATTAAGTTGATCTGCTATTTTTATTTAACTTGAAAAACATTTGTCTTAATAATGAAATGAAAAGTACCCTGAAGATTTAAATTGAAAAAAAAGATCTACCGTATGATATAGATATTTATGTCTATAACAGGTGTTTCCTAATCCACGTCAATACTAGACTTTGCTACTTGGATTATTTTGTACCCAAAAGCGATTACAGAATCTCTAAAATGAAATCTAAATGAAAAATGACACAAAGAATATATTACTGTAGTCCAAATAATCTGTATGGTTATAACACGCTGAAATAGAAAAACTTTGCTTTCTAATTTGATAGTCTCTATACGTTTCGTATTCTGCAGTTTAATATGATAAGAAATGTATCTACATCATGTCAAGAAAATGTGATACTATGTAATAACTATTAGACGATCGTCAACTTGTTTAAATTATTAAGACATATAAAAAAGTTTACGTATAATCTTGTTTACGAAGTTGCGAAATAAGTTTAGACATAATTCCAATTATTATCTAAGAAATTGGTAACACTAGACTGCATCCAAACTTACGCTGATTCACTGCTGCCAGTCGATGTCGATTCATTGTCCGAGTAAGAATACCCTTTACCGTTGTTGTCTGTGGTTCCCCTATTTTTGTCGACGGGAGACGTTCTGTTACTTCTCTTGTCACTTTGTACAGACATCGAGAACGCTTTGGCTATTAAGCACACCTCTTGTTGAATGTGTCCATAAAAACTCACAGGTGCACGTAGCAGAATGGATTGCCGGCTCGTACAAACTGACTATGGAAATGCTCACGACCTTACGTTGCCGCTCGAAATCTTCTCTTATCTCTTCTAGTAAACATTAGTGATTTCGATAAATTGCTCCGTTTTTAATACGCACGATGATATTGATCGACCTGGGTCCCCTTCAGATAGTACCATTATCCATTAGGTGTTATTGCTATGTAGGATGATAATTTAATTCATAGAGCGTTCAGAATCAATTCCTGGATTAATAAAGCAATGAAACTTCAAAGTGTACCTCTTGGACAAGTTTGCTTAAAATTGGTAGGTACCAAGTTTTTGGGAGAGGGATGAGTTTTTGACTAAATATCCAACGCCAATATTTTATTGATTATAAATTATATTGCATTTAAAATTATATTTCCAAATAAGAATTTCGAATAGGCGCACAGTGTGAAGCATTCTGAAGCTAAAAGAATCGGCAATTTTTGAGCAAAAAGGGTCACATTCAAATAAAATCAAAGGCCTTCTGCTTTAGCTTATTAAGTGTCAAATAATAGTTCATTTTTGCTATTTTTTTTAATATCTGGTAAATCCTCTGGATTCAGCATGTTTTTCGAAATGGGCTTGTTCGAAATTTTATCAAAAACTATATAAAAGTCTAGTTATCCATGAAAAAAATTGAAATAGTGAATGATCAAAAGTGACAAATCAAGGTGTTAATCTCGTGTGAATAATTATGGAAAACGTAACTTTAAAAGACAAAATAGAAATTGTACATCTTTTGTGAGATCGAAAAGAGGTAATTCAATATTAGTCATCCAGATAGATGAGTAAGTGAGAGGTCTAAAGATTTCAACACATTCATAATATTTCAACAGTTCCCGAGCTAATATTAGATTGAATTAAAGTTCAAAATATTAAAAGATGCCTGGGAAAAACAATAATGGCTTCTAAGCCAACCATTTTACATACATTGGAACTGAGAGCTGAAAAAGGACCATGGACGTAGCTAGGGGGGAGCAGGAGTGTGCACGGCCCACCCCAGAAACCGCAGTGCCCACCCCAGAAAAAAAGATCCCATATCATCTTTCTCATATCGGTAAATCGCTGACTATGCCACTTTTTTTCTTAATGAAAGAGTGCTCGGGATTTGAAATATTATATCAGTAAGTCGTTGATTGAAGCGGTGGGCTCACCCCAAGCAAACATTCTAGCTACGCCCATGGAAAGACGATTAAAGTTTTGCGATTGGCTATAGGAAGAATATCTAAATTATTTACTGAATGAAACTTTTTAACGATGAGGCCAATTTACTATATATGGGATGATTTTAACGAGTAAAACCATAATCTAGAAGTTGGCAAAAGGTGATTTTTGGGAATTTTAAAGGAAAATCAATAGAAGATATGTCAGGAATAAAAAGACTTTATTGTACATGTTTTCAGACAGTATTGTGAATTTTTTCAAACAGTTTGGATTCAATATGTCGAATGTAGCTGATGGCAAGCAACGACACCTTTTCTTCAGAGGTCTTATAGCCAGGTTTCTTACTAACGGATGGTCTTGAAACAAAAACACAAACATTTTCTGATAACATATGTTAAAAGGGAACATTGTAGGGAAATTAGAAAGTATCAATAATTGTTGATTCAGTGAAGACGAAAAATTTAAAATTAAATTGTTAATAATAATGAGAACTGTTAATCCATCGAAGAAACCTTACGATGTTTCCTAATTTATGTTATTGTGAAGCTCTCTACAAAATTCTAGAGTGGCGTTACCGAATAAGTTTATATTGCGTCACAGCCAGTTGACAATCCAGAATTCGTAAGAAATGCAAAAACAGTATTTGCAAAAAAATTACAAACGGTGTGGAGTACCATATGACAGAATAATTGGTGTTTTCTTCTTTGAGAGTAATTTGAATGCGAATGAGATTATTGAAAGAACGAGTTTACAAATACTCCAGCACAAATATGGAAGATAACTATGAACGCACGTAAAAGGATTGATAAGTGAAGAATTTTGTTGTTTTTGCAAGGGAATTCTTTTTTTTTTCAGTTTTGCTATATTCATGTATAGACCTATATATCATTGTAATAGAGCTTAATTTTACATATTTACTTTTTCTTTTTCTCAGGAATAATTTACTTTTAAAATAAATGAAGTTATTTATTTGTGGCATACCACCTGCGAAAAAAATAAAAATGAAATATTTATAAAATTGCGCAAGGGTTCATTTTATTATTATTATTATTACTTTTATTTTTTCCACAGGCGGCAAAATATCCAGTAAAAAATAATAAAATTTCGTACATGGTTTGACAGGTGGTGAATACAGTAGGCTGAACAAATTTTCTAAAAAAAAAAATGGATTGGATATGGATTATTAAAATTTTATTCTTAAGAATTACCGCAACAGATTTTGTATAAATGTGGCCTTTTTTGCTCAAAACTTGCAACTTGTCAAGCTCTACATTTTAAAAGGATTCTAGTTAATGGTGTTTAATTATAACAAATTATAAAGAATGACTCGAGAACAAATGGGTCTGGAATCTGGAATCTGGGATTTTAGGGACAGTAGCTTAAACAGTTACAACACTTAGGCCTCATTGGGCCTCTTGTACTTCCTCCCATTAGGAGATCAATCCATCTGATCCGTTAACCAACCTATTACAGAGAAAAAGGTGATGACATTGCTTAGAGGGATCTTTCTAATATAGTCCCATAGAAGACCATCGTTCTTTCAACACGAATTTTCTTGTTGACGAGACGGCAGTGCATTCGCATAGCACATGTAGTACTGTCTGGTCTTCCTGTTCGCAACCCCTACAAAGAGGAATTGCGTTGGAGCTTCCTTAGCCAGCAATGTCCAGTTTGAGTACCTGTCACTAGACGAAGATTTGACCTAGACATGGCAAGGTATTTTTTGGCTTCTAAGAATTCCTTAGCAAATTGACAGCTATTTGTATCATCCCACTTTTCATTTCATAAACTCTGTGTGGGTGTTTTCCTTAATAATTTTAATAAGGACTGGCAGCGGAAGCACACTGGAGAGACCGGGTCCAAAAATATTGTGGTCCGATGCACTCCTGGCTTGCTTGGCTTCTTTATTGCTATTGCACCGCTCGTGTCCCTTGACCCAGCATACGGATATGCTGTTGAAAAATGAGGCTACTACCAGTGCCTGGTGGCATTCCTATACTGACTCATTATCTGATTAGTATCTGACCCGTGATTATTAATATCTGTGTAGATAGTTAATACAAAAGATGTCACGTCTTTTACAAAAATTATACATTTTCTCGTACATATTATTAGGCAGTAAATAATCATAATATGCATTACAGTCAAACTGTCGAGTTTCTAGAGATCTTTTCTACCGGTTGAGATAGTGTATGCCAATTTGTATGTACATATACCTATAATTAAATAATTCTTTCGAAGTTTTATCAATCTGATTCAAGCATCTTTAAACATATTTGAATCTACGTAATTATTTTTTATGTTTCATTACCCGGTATTTCGTAAACCAGTGGGTGTAACCTCCGGTTTGTTAAAACTTTTTAGTCGAAAATGTTCCTAGGAACAACTTCTTGAAGTTATGACATGGACTTAGTACACCCATTGTATTTAAAAATGTATTTCGCATAGTCCGAGTTTTCTAACGAAGTTTCCCTTCTTTATAAGGGTTTTATAAAACGAAATCTGTGTTTCAAATCGACAGAGTCGCTTTATTACTACTATATAGTAACTTCCTATTTACCTGTAAGTATATTAAAAAATGTTTCTAGATTGTGACATGAAAATGTGACATTATAAGACAAATATTAAACGATCGTAAATTCTTCTAACCTATGAATTATGAGTTTAATTAGACACACGATAAACAATTTTATGTATAAAGAGCCTCGTTTACTAAACTGCGAAATAAGTTTTCAAAAATTTCAAGTAGATGTGAGCTTATTAAAAAAAAAATGGAAACAAATGATTCTCCTCCACACTTACATTGATTCGCCGCTACCAGTCGAACTTGATTCATTGTCCGAATTAGAAGAATATTCTTTGCCATTCTTGCCTGAGATTCCCGCCTTTTTGGCGAGAGGAGATATTTTATTAATTCTCTTGTCATTCTGTACAGACATCGAAAATGCTTTGGCTATTAGATACACTTTCTTAGCGGGCTTATATACACAAAAGCACTCACGCACCATCACCCGCCCGCTCGTTGAAACTGGCTATAAAACTGCTCACAACTTGTAGGTGTCGCTTGAAATTTTCTCTTATCTAATAAAACACTAATGATTTCGATAAGTTTCTCTATATTTAATCGCAGATGATATTGATCGACGTGGGCTCGCTTCATATTTACCCTTTATTAGTGCTATACAGGATGATTCATAAATAAGTTTACTTATAGGATGTTCCAAAATTAAGTCTAGATAATTTTCCCACCGTATTTTTAAAAATATCTAAACTTTCCAGATATCTTTTCAGTTCAAGACCCCAGAGGGCAATTTTAATTTTGAAACACAAGACGTTTTTCAGTTTATCACACTTACACTGTATAATAATTTAAAATATATTTAAAACTATTAGTTTCACAAAAAAAAAATGAAGAATATTTTTTTGTTCAAAGCATAATTCTAAATACGTTATACCACTAGAAGATAAAGAAAATCTGGCCTGTAAATTCTCATTTTTATGCCCCACATTCAATATTTTTCTGGCAATTATTACGTCAACGATTTTTATCGACCTCTGATGAATATACTATATTTTTGAAACTGTATTTTGGACAAAAAATTGCTGCACATTTTGTGAAATGTATATTTAGCTAATTTCTACACTTTGCGATGGGATTTTTGTAAAGTCTGTTTGGTCTCTCCTGAAGTTATGACTTGGCCTGAAATTAAAAATAAAGGAGGACAAAAAAAGTTATGGGTTCTGTTACCTTTTAATAGTCTGCAGTAATTAGGTGATAAACCCTCGAACCTTCACAAGAATTTCATTTCCTGCTGTATTTTTTTTTTGAAGCACATTTTATTGTGTGTGGGCATCAGT